CTAGTTGACCAGTTGATTATGTTTCCATAGTCCACTCCCAACACGATGGAATTCCATATTGCTTCAATTTGTACACTTAACACTTGCTAAGATGGATCTTTCCAAGTTGCTCATATCAAATCAGAATCACTTGATTTTATGACCAGGTTAGCCAGTTGATTATGTTTCCATAGTCAACTCCTAACTTGATGGAATTCCATGTAGCATCAATGTTATCGACCATGCGAAGTTACATGATATTCGGCTCAAGTAATGCTTGAAAATCACAATTACCATATACCTTACTTCGAGAATTCTCATTTGATGTGTCGGTAAACTAACCATGCATAATGCCAAAAAGAATACAGACCACTCTGATACCACCAATAGGTTTTGAGGATCCTTAAACAACATTAAAGGGACAACGAAAGCAAAAACTTTTGATCCTCAATAGGCCCGAAAAACCGGATCTATGAACAACCTATCTAATGCAACTTGATTATGCAAGAAATCATACCTTTTAGGGTTTTTCAATATCCCTAGTAGATCTTCAATTGATTTATAAGAGCTAAGAGTCCAACGTAGAACTCCTGTTTCGTAGTCGCACCCAAGGCAATTAGATTAGCAACATCTAAAAACAACCCATGCAATGCACACCATGAACGAATGCTTCAAAATACATAATCTGATAAAACTGTGTCACCACGTCGTGGGCAAGAAGCCACCATGACGTGGGAACTGGGATATTGGTGGTTTGGGGAATTAGGAGGTAGGACCGAGTTTCCTTTAGGGTTCTGAGATTTCTAATCAATTAAATTCGTCCATATGCCTCTCTATTTATATGGAAGGATAAAATACCGTAGAAGAAAATTATCTAGTCCCCTAATAAATATCCATATAAATGGTAATTATCTAACTGCTTAAGTTATCCTTTTTTATCCTCCAGAATATTCTAGAACTTTTAGATTTCATTTAACTAATTAAATATAAATAATTAATTAACAAATCAAGTCCCTATAATTTTCCCAATGCCATTTATTTCTTATTTATGTCCTTGCATGTAACCCAAAAGGACCCACTATTAATAGTAATATTACCAGTTGTTCTAACTGTGTTGGGACTATGGGCACCATTCTCCATCAAGGAGGGCATGGATCAAGAAGGCATGAATAAGGAAGGAATCAATGAAGATGGCATGGGTGTATAAGGGATGGATCAGGAGGGCCTGGGTGTGGAGGACATGGATCAAGAGGACATGAGAATGAGGAGGCCAAAGCTGAGAATGAGGAAGCCTTCAGAGAGGATAACAAAAATACAATTAAAGAAAGTGGTGGTTGTAAAAAATGGGAAGGGGACGAGTTCATCCAACTCACTTAGTCTATATTAGGGTGTTTCTAACCCATGCTTTTGTTAATAACATGTACAAACTTTTGGCTTTGGGCAACTGTTGATATCCCCTTTTGTTTATAGCCATCTAAACTTTAGGCTTTAGGCCCATTGATTATGTTTTTGGGCATTTACACAACTAGCCATTAAAACTTTTGGCTTTGGTTAATATGACATGTTTTATGATAAAAATGGTTTATGTTTCTTTAAGTTGATTCCATTGTTTATGTTTATGTTGTTAATTTCATTCCAGTGCTTTAATCATGATTACATTATTTAGTTAAATGGAATTCCAACCATGTTTGATTCTAGCCATACTTGATTCCGGCCATGCATGATTCCAATCACAATGATTCCATTGTTTATTGATCATCTTTGTTTATTGATTCCATTCATGATTGAGTCTAGTCATTGCTGATTCCATTGTTTATTGATCATCTTTGTTTATTGATTCCATTCATGATTGATTCCATTCATTGTTGATTCCATTGTTTATTGATTCAATTATTTATTGATTCCATTTATTCATGATTACAATGGAAATACTTATAAGTCCTACATAAACATAAACTTGTTAATTCATTTCATTTCATAATGGGACACAACATAATACATAGTATACACACTCCAAAAGACATTGACAGTACCCTAACATACACAACCAAAACACATTAATACTAGCCAAACAAACACGACCAAAACACTACTTCCAATCCATCTTCTATCTATAAACACATAAAAGAAACCATAAACACATAAAACGGTGATTTCCATATTCTATCTATAAACACATAAAAGAAACCATAAACACACCAAAACACTACTTCCCATCCATCTTCTATTCACAAACACAAAAAGAAACCATAAACACATAAAACAATGATTTCCATCTTCCACTTTCATTTCCATTTTTTTGTTGAATGCCCACTCCTTCAACGGGTTGTTGTGCCACTGGTTGTTCCCAATGTCTCCAAAAAAGTTCCCCTCAACTTGTTGTTATCCAAACTCTCCGGATATTACATTGTTCTCCAAATTAACATTGTTGTGAAAATCTAGTTAAGAGATTTGCATACTACTGGTTTGGTAGATGAGGATCCACCCAACAAAAGTATTTGCAAATTTTGAGTTCATCATGGTAATTTGGGCAACATATATAAACCTTCTTCTAGAATTTAACGAGGTCCATGAAGTCCATCTTCCAACGAGATCACCACAATATCACATGCTTCTTAGACGATTCATCATCCATCGATTTGATCCTCGACTTCCTACAAAAGATGAAAACGACATCCGTTGGTCCTCCTCTTGCTTCGATTTATGCTTGGTTTGATTTTCGGGCGCGAATGAAACTTTTCTGTGTATAGGCTTTATATTTATGACTCCTATAGTGAGTTACCATCCACCTCAACATGTCTAACCCACATGGACACGTGCAACCGGTAAAACAAGGATGGACACATGTAACCGGTAAAACGAGGGTTACCTGATAAAAAAGATTAAATTGTTAGGTTTATCCGGTTTATTGGACTTTTTTATTCAATAATAATAATAATAATAATAATAGTAATAATAATAAGTAGGATTTTTTAAAACTTTTTCCAAAATATTGAGATTTTACTGTAGATTGATAAAAAAATTTAAGGCTTGTTTACATTGTGTTTAAAGTGTGAACCCATCATGAAATCACTAGGCTCGTGTTGAATAACATATAGCATGCATTTCACATGAAATTGAGAAAAAATGTAATAAAGGCAATAAAAAATTTGAAAAAATCATATTAAGATGATCATGATTTATGATTTATTTCTCTAAATGTCACACTCAACATGGCATTTTCAAACGATCTAGAAAGTTATCTTCCACATAGTACCATGCTCTTAAAGAACGAAACAATCATTTGATGTACTCGATGAATATAATTAACTAATAATTATTTCGAAACTTTTGCAAGACATATATACCATGATAATATTAGTAGTTGAAATGAATTTCCATCACAAACTTAATGTTATTAGGCTTTTTAATTTTCAAGCCTACAATATCATTCTTCCATTTTACCACATTAACTTTTTTTTTTTTGAAACGATAATTATTCTACTCTTAACTATCACCATCTACGTCTCAAACAAATTTAAACCTCTCACATTAGCTAGTGGTTTGGTACTAGATTGATTGTTGGAAATAAATTTGCTTATTCTTTCATTATATTCTAGAGGTGTAATTGTAGTTATTTTGTTCGTTTATGTTGCGGTGTCATGCTCGATGCATCTAGCTCCATTTTACTATGCAGAAGAAACTTCTTAATGCCACATGGCCATTTCAAAAAGTTAACAACAAACATGTTTGTTTAAGGTCTTAACGATTCATAGGCCACAATCATAACAAAAACGACACACTACAATAATCAAAAGCCAAAATCATAACAAAAATGCTTGTTTTAACTATAAACCTTAAACGCTAACCATAAAAATGAGGGTTAATTAAAAAAAACGACCTTATATTTTGTATTTTTTTCCGGATTAAACATCAAATTTATTTTTTGTTTGAAAAAACCTTGTATTTTTAAATTTTAAATTTTAAATTAAATTTAATAGATATCCCTTGGTTTTAGGCATGATTTTACACGATATGAATGTATAATAAAATGAAAACTTCAATTTTTGTTATCCAGTAAGTTAATTTCATTTTAAACGATTAACATTTTAAGTAAAATGCCAATTTTAAAAAGTAAAATCAACGGTTACAATATTAATTTACGTAAAATTTTAATTAAATTATTATTATGAACACTTTGTTTTACATAAAAAACATATCTTAATAATATATATATATATATATATATATATATATATATATATATATATATA